TTGGTTTATAACCCACGATGATAAGGGTAATTCGATCCAATAACTGCGGTAAAAGCTGGTTTTGTACAAAGACTGCTGCTTGAAGACTCACATAGATGTTTCACGTATTTATCTTGATAGATTTGTTACCGCAATCAGATAACTATGCCTGTGAGTATATAAACAGGTATATCTTGATATCGTGGATGTTTTCTTCATATAGATTACTTATATGGGTAAACTTTGTAGATTTATCTAGGACACTTGTTGTGTAAAAAAGTGTATTGATTGACATGATTGACATGTGGCACTAGTTAGAGAGAGTTGTATCTTTTTTAAGAAATTTATCTATACTATGGTGCGTTACTTTAAACACTTTGTATGTCATGTGTTTAATTAAATATTGTACATGATTATTTATTAAAAGATATTTATTAATTTTTATTTGCTTTTTAGACCAAATAAAATATGATGGATTTGTTTGAAAAGGTAGGGTGAATGTATCTCCCATCATCTCTCTTTATTGCATTCTGCAGAAAGATATCAAATTAATGATATACTTAACATTACTAAACACAAAGGTAAAGATTCTTTACAGCATTAAAGACTATTTCTCAAAGAAAAAGGACTCATAATAAGACTGTCAGATCAATTAGATCAAATCAGATCAATTAGACATTTTTTTATAGTTAATACATTCTTTTAATCATTGGTTTAAGAGTATGTTTTTATTAATGAATATCAATGTATTTTAGAAATACGTATATTTAGCCAATATAGAAACATGTATTATAATGTAGTATATGTATATTATATAAGAATTTTGACTATGAAAGCTGGCTCTCACTTGAAGTAGTAGCCTTTGGGCTTGTTGCATACCGCACCTCTAAACCAGTGACTTCAAAGTTCTAACAAGTTGGTGAGTTATTATCTATGCTATGGACGCAACAAATGCTGTAATTGTGCCAATATATCCCTGGCTAGTGGAGAAGATAAGGCGAGATTAAGCCATCTAGTATTGTATAATATCGGTCATCATCGGAGTTGTGAGTTCTTTATGTTGTCTACAAGTACCATTTCCTAAACCGCACCGAGGGTTTGTTTTCTTATTTTAATGTATTCGAGGCACCTCTTGATAAATGTCATTAGGTCAGTTAGTACATTGTAGCGAATTCATTACGTAGCAACCATAGTGGTTTTCAGCAGGAACCACGTGGATATCAACCTAATATGCCATGTAACCTCATTTATTTGATACTGTATATCGTGAGGGAAATAAACGAATAACGATTATGCCATTTACTTCTTTCTGACAATCATCACTGCGGAGCAGAAGCTTCGCATATTCGCGTATAGACTGTTATTGCACAAGGTATGTTTCGATGAAGAATTATTCTAATCAATATGCATTCGAGGACAAAGGGGTTGTTATTAATGAGGACTGTTGACACTATTGCTAACAAAAAATGGTACCTACATCCACGTGGTTCTATTTAGAAACCATCGCGGCTAGCGTCTGGTGAATTTATAATGATAGGAGATAGTGTGCTGTTAAATGGAACTAAAACTCATTTTCATCTTTTAGTCCTTCACTTGTTTTCATAACCGCAAGCGGGGTGCAAGTACAAGAAACTTTCTAATATCAACATTTTCAAAAAATATCTGGATCTTTAGAATGCGAATATTGACTAACCTTATTTGACTAATTAACATATATACCTAAGTATACAAGAAGAAAAAAGAAAATAAATTTAACGACGTAACCCAGCCAGTATCCCTAGAACTGCTACATGGGAGGAGGGGGGGGAAGGAGATTGTTAGTAATGTGGACTCATGACCCCATTACTAGCAATGTACCATGTCAGGTTGACCTCCACGCGGTTCCCCTTGAAAACCATCGTGATAAATTTCTGGTAAATATAGCACGATGGGCTTACTGACCTGACCTCATGTTCATCTGATCATCCTCCACTGGTGCCCCGCCAGCGTAAACGCAGGCGGGAGCACCATTACATTATCATCCATAAAAAAAAATTGCTACATGAATCATTATAATGAGACGTTTTCTTAAATATACCTAACTATAGTATACTATAAATTAAAATATAATTACTAAATTATTATTATAATATAAAGGATTATTTATATAGAGAGTATTAAAGGATTGTTGCATTAATAGGCAATAAGTAAACAATCAACAAATTTCTATCGGGGTAGATTTTGTAAAAATTTCTCTGTCTTCTGTCATGTTATAATAGCCGCCAAGCTTAGTAAGCTGTGTTTTGTGTTGGCATTAAAGTGGTTTAGTACAGTAATTGAACTGTACATGTAAAATGAAAGTTAATTATGTAAAGTTATTATTACAATAATTAAGAGTACGTAGCGGTTTTTCTAACGATTGTCACATGACTCTTTATTGTGTTATGTTTTATTGCTACTACTTGACTACAACGTAGTATGTCGCCGGGTGTCTAGCTCTTTTGTACATAATTTTTATGTATATTATATTATAGGTTTTGTAAACATTGATTTTAATAGTTGTGATATTTGTATCTACATAAAAATAAAAACTATCCATTTGTTTAAATAGCGCAAGAACCAAGTTTCTTGCTCATTCTTCGTGCATCAGTCAGCTTTCCACGGGCAGTACATTTGTATAAACAAAACAATATATTTTTACTAAAGTCAATTAGATTCAATACATACAATTAGATTAATCTGATGGTAAAAAATCATTTTGTATTGTGTTCTATATATGTGTTTCAAATTTTGTAAATGCGAGATAAGGGTACCTAAACGGGATATATTCTTGTATATATAATATAGTCTAGTTTATCAACATAAAACCATGTTGGGCGATAAGTAATCGCTCTCGTGCTCTCGAGGCCTGCCTGTAAGTCCTGAACAATCTTGTATTTTATCTGTCCAAACTGTCCAGTACTAGTGGAACTAAAACGTACACTAAAATTAATTTCTTCGTTAATAGTATATAGTAGTACTCACTACTACTTATGTTGTTTTTCCCATGAAGTTGTATAGTATACTTGATGGGAAATATACTACTTAGTTACTAATTACACTTTATTGTTTAAGACTAGCTCTAGGACTCGTATATATCATGTGAAATAATAAACAAACTATAATCTATTCATTTGCTAGATAAAAATATGAATACTGTTGTACCTATTATTTTGTGGAATCGGTGGTTGTTATCGCGGGTAATTAGACCCGTAGAGAATAATTTGTACATTGTCTAAGATATTAAGTATACTTATTTTTATCGAAATTGCTAAAATATATAATCGTTGGATATAGGAGTAATAGGGTGGTTTTATAGCACATCCTTTTAGAAAATAGGACGAAGAAAGTAACAGAGAGTAGCAGGTGTAAAGATGGTTTTAGTGATCATGTAGTTGTGAAAACGAACGAGATCTATTTGAAGTTTTAAGTGACATACTAATCCCGAATGGTCGGTCTACGCCTGATTATATTTAACATACACATAGTATATGTCATTTTATTAAATTTTGCTCGAAGAAAAATCATAGTTCTCTATGGAAATCAAAAAGCCAATAATTTCGCAATGCAAGAAACAAATAGATTAAGTTTTCGCCATTTTGTTATATTCGCTAGCGGATAAGATATTTATAAAAGAATGCTTTGCCAATTAATGTCATGAGAAATAGAGCAACAATCCCATAGATTTAAAATTACAAATGGAAAGCTTGTCTGCCAAACATGTCAAATTTTCAATATGGTCACAATAATTTTGTCACATATTATTATATATTCGCCTGTATACCGAATATATGAAATTGAATATAGTCGACTATAGTGAGATCTGTAACAGAAGTATTATTTTTGGTTATGATGATTAAACACTATTGGGTACCATTGAGGAATGGAACACTGAAGATGAAATTAAGATTTAGCCGTATACATTTCAGGAAAATCAAGATGATATAGGGGACTGTAGGAAGAGATGCAGCGGAGTGCTATGAGTGATAGTGATTTTATTCGAAAATAGTAAATAAATTTGTTTGTCTTTAACAAAATTTGTTTCATTATCAAGATTTTTACCCATTTATGAGGAAACCACCCAAATAAAAACCCTCTTATTTCTCAAGTTATATATTGCTAAAACTTATAAAAATCACATAACATAGTTATAATAACAAACTTGTACTTTTTTTGATCGGAAGTTGCAAACCGAAAACCGGTGCAGCGTCACGACGGAAAATAAAACAACGCTTAAATACAACATTCAGAATTTTTTGAATGGTATATGATGTATACAAAAAATTGTATTATTCCATACCGTGTATTTTTTTTCATAAGTCCGTTCTGCTCCTGTACTATCGATATTTTTAATATATGTCAATTTTGTTTCATTACATTGTAGATGAATCCGTCATAAACATGGCGTTTATTTTCATTAGCAGAATAGACTTAAAAAAATGTATTAAATACGCTTACTACTGTTATTAAACAGGTGTGAGCATTTAACTAAATATTTTAGTATAAATCTATAGCCTCTTGAATTCTTTGTATAAAAATAATTTGAAAGATTTCCCAATACTATATTACGATATTATACAGCCACCTACACCCTATGAGTAGTACAAATATCAATATTAAGAGAAAATTCTCGGAGATATTGATATTTGTGCGTCTACTTAGGTGTTGTAATTTTGTGAGATAAAAGTATTGCATAAAAGTAAATGATATTTTAAATTCATAATTTTCATTTTTATAGTGATTTCTCACTTTTTAATTGCTACTTGTTCACTTATTTTTCGACTCGAGAATTGAACGTTCACTGCCCAGTCGTTGGTAACTATTCACATAACGACGCGGCAGATAATATTTGTACCAAAAGCAGTAATGAAGAGAAGTAGCAGTTGTGACGTCTAAAATTGTTATTGCATATGTTCACAAATCTCTTGTGCTATTTGTGAAATAGGCAGTTATAATTTCGCTCTCCATAGATAGGGACTAAAAGTAGCACTGTATAGGTTTTATCGGAAGGGTTCTTAACATATCCTCTTTTACAGTAGAACTCTACTCAGCTGATTCCTTTTAATACTGGTCTATGTGGAATGTTTATTCTATATATCTAAGTGATTTGAAGTTACAAATACAGTTGCCACTCAATTCCCAGGTCTTTCTATTTCCTACAATAAAATATTTACAAACACATCTTGGTATCGACGGTAACAATTAGTTAACAAAATGACTATGTATTATCTGTCTATATTTACAAAGTGTCATGGTTGGTACCTTCTTTAGTCCCATCCGTGGTGTTCATGGTGTATCGGTACCCATACTTTCTGCCACACCGGTTTCCATACCTTCTTCCAAGCTGGGACCTCGATGGTCTTCCACACGGGCACCTGAATTTGTTTCCATTTCTCTACCCAGATTTTCTTTTGTACAGGTACCCATATTTCTTTCTTGACGGTTTTCCAAATTTGTACTTTTTCCTCTACCCACTCTTGTTTCTTCTCTGTTGCCCACGCTTGTTTCTTTTCGGTCCTCCAGATTTGTTTCCATTCTTCCTTCCATTCCAGTTTCTTTTCAGTTACCCATTCTTGTTTGTGCTCGGTCTTCCATACTTTCTTCCATACTGGCTTCCAGATCATCTTCTTTCTCCAGAGATCATGGCTGGTGTATTCCCATCCGTGATCGTCTTTTCCCAAATATTTCTCTCCGGGTACGCCTTCCTTAACCCAAGCTGGTACGTAGTTCTGTTTCCACTCTGGGACCTGTATGGTTTTCGTTACTGGGACTTGAATACTCTTCCAAACTGGTTTCCAGACTTTCTTCCAATCCGGAACTTGGACTTCTTTCCATATTGGAACTTGAACTTCCTTCCAGATTGGTTTCTGCACTACTTTCCAAGCTGGAACTTTTTCCTCTTTCCACTGTGGAATTTGTTCTGTTTTCCATGCTGGTACCTTCTCCTTTTTCCATTCTGTTTTCCATATTAGTTTTTTGTCCGTTTTCCAGATCTGTTTCCACTCCTCTTTCCAGACGAGTTTTTTCTTCCAAACTCCTTCTGGGGGTGAGTGCCAACCTCCTGGGGACCTCTTCTCTCTGGACAAAGCGGTGTCTACATCTTTGATGGGTACAGCAAGTGATGCTGCTATTGACAGCACCACCCACAGCTGAAAAAATCAATATTTAATTAATAAAAATGCATTGAATAATTAAATAAAATATAGGAAATATACATTTATAAAAAGTATAATTAATAAAATAAATTTCTTTAACGTAAAATATACTTTTTTTCTAATTTTATAAGCCAATGTGAAACGATTCGAAATAAAAATAAGTTTATAATCACATTTAAGACAATTTACATTTCTAAAATTAAACTGGACATATATGTATACATGTATTGACCGTACAGTTGATTACTATACTAATAAACCGTATTTGCTTATTTAATTTACGTGTAGCTTTACCAGTTTAAACCCGTGGTAAAGTCTAGCCAAATACAAAGAATAAGAAGATCTAATACGTGAATAAAATTTAAGAACTTACTACACTTTCAGTGTAGTGTTGGTTGTCAATCTAACTTTAAAAATCACGGTAATCAGTTTCTATTTTATTACTTTATAAAAATAATTTTATTAATCTGACAACATGCTAATATTTTTAGAAAAGTGTATAAATATAAATACAGAATTTATTCTGCACATAGGTAGAATACTGTCTGCCAGTAACATTCTTTTCGTCTAAAACTCTATTTAAGATTAATCAAAAATATATTTTAAAATATATAATTAATTAATACAATAAATAAGATTATTATCTTATATATGACAAGACAGAGCACTTTCTTTAACTTAACTTTTCTATATATATCGATTAACTATTTGTAATGAACAGCTTAATGAAGTGTATCCTAGATACCTCAAATATAAGCTTTGACTATATTCAAATATACGCAGAAAAATACAAATTTTCCATTCTAATTATGTATCATACAAAAATGCAGTTTTATTACTATCTTTGTTTCTGGCGCTCATTGCAGCCACTATGGTAAAATGACCGGGACTTTCTGACTGGGACGGGACTGTGAATTTCTATACTACATTTCATTATAATTGGTTCAACCGTTGAAGTGTCAACGGAAAACAGGCAATAGCATTTTAATAATATATATATATCTATATTAATAATCTTGGTCAAAGTATATATGTAGATATTAATAAAGCAAGTGTAAACTTATATGTACATTATAAAATTGTTTTGAATAGCATGTTAATATATGATTGAGTAATTAATTGACAAAATTATACGAATAATGCGACATATAAAGCTCAATTATGCCTATAATATATTAAACATGACATTATAAGGTCATCTACATTATATATAGGGTTAATCACAAACGGTGACCAAGCCGAAAGTTATTCTACTAGTACTTATAAAAGTGAATAACATTCTCAAATTGAAAATCTAGAAATACTTTCTTAAAATTTTCATGAAGTATGAAAAGTTTAAATATATTATCTCAGACTCTCATTTATTTGGTGTCTCAGTTTTATAAATACTGTCCCTGAATTCCGGCTTGATACTCTTTACGACCAACCCCTTATATCTCATAGAAATAGAACGCGCGCGTAAACTATACTTTGTCGCACTATTCGCGCACTTTGCCACTTAACACGCTAGAATAAAAGCACTACTATATTTTTAAATAAACCACAAATGGTCACTTTTTTCACAATTTTTTTTTATTTTATTTATATACACAAAACAATCCAAATGACCCACCGTTGAGGTCAGCGTTCTCATTTTGACTCGGTGTCCGCCGCCACGACTGGTTCAGATGTGTGAGCGCAGGCTTTTTATCATTGCGCCCCTCTACGGCGGGACTTGGTAGACGTGACGCGTTTTCCCAACATGTCATCGTGACCGGAGATGAGACGGTTTTTCTGAAGTATTCCATCTAATGTATGGCTGACTTAGTAGGTAATAAAATTACCTGGATGCCATCACGCAGGTTACATAATACTACCTGAGTGACCGGGTAGTGCTCGGATCATATTCTTATCTGTAGCTATATACAAATGTATTTAGAGTGATGTCGATTATTGTAAGTACAAATTAAAATTAATAACAACATCGGATGTTTAGGAAACGAGCTTGTAAATATGCTGTCAATATCAACAACAACCTCACCAATTTAAGTATTGAACCAAGAAATAAGTGACATAACCTCAATTAGTTTTTGGTACTACTTTTTTCAAATCCTTAGTAAATATTACTATACAAGTACTTATGTTATTTTATGAAATAAAAATGTTTTCTATAATAATGTTGACTTCACCTAAAAGTACGAAGAGAAGGGGCTGTTAATAACAGGAATACTTGGACTTAGTGTCGGCATACCGTCATTCAGATTTGGTTCCGATAGAATCATGAAGGACGTGTTCACCACTATTACCAAGTAATGCAATTTTGAACTCACACTTTCATAATGTACAGACAGGATCATCATTGCAACATAATATTATAATAAATAAATAAATAACACAGTGCTATCTAGTCCCACGGTAAGCAGGTCTTGTGGTATGGGTACTAAACAACTAGTATAAATACTTAGACATTTTTCGTAAATACATACGTAATATACATAGACAACATCCAGACCGATACAAATTATCATACTCATGAATAAAAATGTTTGCACCGTGCGAGGAATCAAACCCGCGACCATCGAAGATAGACAAGACCAAGGAGTCCGTCGACTTTTGACCGTCTACTCATCCTTTCATAATATACAGACAGGATCATCATTGCACCATAATATAATATTCAGGTATAACCGGCGTGAACTATCAATCAGTGTTTATTCAATCCAACACCACCATTAAGTTGTAATTCGATGTTTATACGTTACGCAACACATCTTACTCGTAACATTACCGAATTTCTAATTAGAAAACTTATAGATTGAAAATCTCTTTAACTTCTTTAGAAGGTTGTAGAAATATGCATTATAGTTAACTTAATGATAATATTTGAAGAACAGTACTTTTACTACTCTTGTATATAAAATTCTCGTGTCACAGGTTTCGTGTTTATATTTCTTTGAACGGCTTGACCGATTTTGATGAAATTTTATATATATATTCAGTAGGTCTGTGAATAGGTGCATAACTAATTTTTATATCCCTAAGTGTTGGCTCACCTCAAACAATGAGTTTTTTTATATTTATTTTTTAACATGTGGCTTTAAAAAGTACATACTGACTTAAATTTTCACCCTTCTACCACCAATCCCTATTTTTAATAGCAATATTAGTACTTAAATTTGTATGGCAAAACAACGTTTGACGGGACCGCTAGTATTAATACATAAATGCTTGTTTTCTAAACTGTATTACGATTAAATAGTCGACAAACGTGTCAAATCCGCCATATGTGCCTTTATTTGTGTATATGTGCATTGAAGTTAATAAATACATAATGTAGTGTAATTATAGGATAGGAGAAATCTTCCGGAATAGCAACGCGTTAGTGGAAAGTACTCGTATCATGGGCGTCATATGATCACGTGGTTTTTGTGGTGATGTGTATGTAAGTGTTAAGTGATATCTGACGGTAAGTGGTAGCCGTTGCATATTACATGGACAGTATCAAGAATACTTCATCCTTTTTTTTTACACTGTTATGGAGGCAAACAAACAATCAAACGGCCCATCCACCCTCAACTGGCTCACGGTAAATGTTTACCAATGACTATGAACGCATGAGACACCAGGGTTGTTACGTGATGATAATGCCTTATGTAATACCCGTGGTACGGTGGTACTCCATTTTTGTTACCATTCTGGAGGACTATGATATCATACATCGTGTACTGTAATTTAATTTTGTAATTAGAGGATTATTAATAAAGTAATTTCAGATGCCTACCAGATATTATTGAATTAATTGCATACCATTGTCTTGGCAGAACACGCATGTTCATTAATTTTAATTATCATCTTTGCGCTGTGTTTTTAGTAAATAAATTATTACTACATATATAATGATAATAATAATTCATTATATATGTAGTAATAATTTTTGTTAAGCAGGTATACCTGCCTTATTACTCATGTAGACTTGGTTATGGTGAACTATAATTATGTCTGTCCAGTCTGTCATACTCGTAAACATTCTATTCAAGTTACTGAACTTGACTGCTGAAACTATTATACGTTTATTTACTTTAAATTAATAACATATCCTGATGGTTACTATATCAACACTGAACTTGTGCTTTAATATGTAGTAAGATCAAAGTTTCCTGGCAATTATTTTTTGTTCAAACTATTGAACTTACTGTAGACTTGAATTGTAATACGAGTGTGTAATATTCTTATAAGAGTAAATATATTTGATTTGATTAAAATAAGTAGAATTGTGCCTTTACCAGATTTTCCGATGTCCACATCGGAAAATCTACCATTATCAAAATCCAGGAACAACATTTAGAATGCTTATTTTATTTAATATTCACTTTCTATGATCTACATTGATTTGAATAATAATAATAATCTCAAGACAATTCACACAGCGCCATCTAGACCTAAGTTAAGCTAGCTAAAGCTTATGTTATGGGTATTACATAACTGAAAATACATAGATATTTTTATATAGTGAACACCCAAGCCAATATAAGCAGTCATAGTTATAAATACAAAAGTTAGTGCCGTGCGAGGAATCGAACCCATCGTAAGTAAGGCGGTGTACTAAACCGCTAGGCAACAGTGGCCGTCAAATTGAATGCAATTGATTAATGATTTACTGAGTAATGTTGCATCCTAGCATCTTTACATAGTGTAAAACAACGTCGCCGCCGATGTCTGTTCACTTATATCTTTTAAAAGACAATACAATGGATTTTAATGCAATTTTCAGCCGTAATTTAAAGAATTATAATGCATTCGTGAGATGCCGTTATGGCTTGCTATTATATTATAAATACTTCGATGAGTTTGTTATGCTTTCAAGCCTAAACCGCAAAATCATATATTATAAAGATTTTTTTGTTTGAGTTATGTGAATAATGAGTAAATTCATGTAATATTCTTGCTATTTTAGGAAATAAAAGGCTTTTTTATTTTATCTATTTATACGGCTACTCTCTAGCGAATTCCTTATACCTGGAGTTCGGGATGAGAAAAGGAGTAAGTATTGTATAATTTTTAAAATTTTGTTTTGCAAAGGACGTAAGTCTTACAAAGTTACAAAATAAAATGTATTTGGTTATTTCTATCAGTTTTTAAACGGGACTAGACTACGCTATGAGTTCTATCCAGGGTTCTTACTAATCATTATATCCCATGTAAATTCGAAGTCGAGAGCAAAAGCTTGTATTCATAAATAATGAAATTGTCATGATATATAAATAAATAATTGTTACTCGATTGATTGGAAAGTGCAACACCGAACTTTTTTGGCACTTATTGGTTGAGAGCGGAAACTGCTTACCGAATTAAATAAATGACCGTTGAAAAAGAATTTTATTTCGGAGTATTTGTTTAGCCCTTGAATGTTGCTGTAATAAACATATTGCGTAATACCTATATAAGAACTGAAGTGGTAGATACGAATGGTACGGTAAATGGATAATTAGTAGGCAGAATGGAGGTATGAATAATTATTTAATACAACTTTATAAAAATAACATATATGGTATAATACATCCTGATAAATATATTTGAAAGTGAGAGATAAATGTAGAATAATGGAAGAGGTATGTTGTAAAAGATATATTGGCGGTCCTTAGTTACTGCGTGCCACTTTGGGAGTCGTGGGTGATCATGTCTTTATGTGTATCAGTACTTTATTGTTACTTAAACTCTATGTTTGACTCATAATGATAATATCTGATAAACATAATAATAAATAAAGGTTTTTGTTTTTATTTATCATTTAATTTGTCGTTACTTATCATGTTTTTTAGTGTTCTCAATATTTTTATTATTTCACTACACTAACTTAAAAGAAGTTAAGTGGTAAGTGTTACCTTACTATGTTAATAGATCATAGAAGAAGACGTCTAATCTGAATTCTCTTACGCTAAGAGTTAAAACAGATTTAACCTACGTATAGGTCAGACTAATTGATAATAGAAATACAGATTCAGTTTTTGTTTCATTTGTCACTATTGTTATCAGTCCCAGTGTTGGAAGTAAAAACTTCTAAATAGTACCAATGAAGTATGTGTAAAGTGAACATTCCAAAAAATAAAAATCACTGCCTAAGCATTTTATTTCAACGAAATCCTCATTTATCTTTATGCTATTAGTACGTACGGTCATTTTTCTGAGAAGTATAAGTATACGAGTATAATTGCTTAACTGCTTAACTCAATTCCTTAAAACACAATATTTTTAGTTTAAAAATATTTCGAAATATCCTGAATGTAATAGGTACTAAGCTTTTACCTTTTTGTATGTGATTTCCGTCAAGATAGATTTGCCGTTACCACACGACTTATGACACGCCAGACGCTAACACCAAATACTAAGTGAACAGCGCTTCATTTGTCAAAGTCTAGTGAATAGGAACATTTACACTTACCAGATATACTAGCTATATAGTATTGTCGACCGACCTCTGTAAATTCTACAGGTTTATATTTATTTTGCATGCATATAAAATATTTCACTAACATATCAATGTATCGAAAATATCATATATGTTCAGTATCCCAGTAATATTTTTACTATTCATCACTTGTTTTGTAATAGCTACTTGCTGACATTATTGTCTTCACATATAATAAATCCGTAAAATCGTGATGAGGCAAAAACTG